AACAATTCTGGCATCGACGGACGTAAAAAAGAGCGTTTGGGACATGAAAGTCGTGTCCGTGACAGTTGCAACAGTTGCAACTCTGTTGCAACTGGATGCCAAGGCCAAGAGCGTCCCCAAGAGCTGGGGAGATAGGGACTTTGCTATCAGTGCGGTTAACAGTTCATTTCACAGGGGCAAGGCCAACCCTTGACCGGGATCAGAATTGGGTTACGCTGCTGACGGGGGCCCGGAGCGCTGCAACATGTTTTCAGAACGTTTTGACTTTTTATCCATATTTTTTTATCCGCATTCTGGCATCAAGGTCACTTTTGTGCCCTACCACTGACTCTCACTCTGACACTGGCGTACCAGAGAAAAAGCTCACTGAGGACGAACTCCTGTGCCACAAACCATCCGGTGCACCTGTCTGTTGACTCTGCCCTCCCCTAACCAGACAGACAGACAGACTTTCAATTTCTTTGACACATTTGCTTGAAAATGCTCAACAAGTGCGCTGGCCCCTGAGAAGATAAACCTGCCAACGAGCATTGCTGCCCCTGCCACTGCCACTGCCACTGCCCCTGTCCCTGCCCGGTCTCCACCCGGTATCAGACAAGCTTTGACTTTTATATCCCGCTGCCTCCCACACCCGGGACTCTTCCCTTTCAGGCAGCACAGCACCCCATCTGTAGTCCGTCGTCTGTTTACTTTTGTGGGGGGGCGAGGGCGGGGCAAACTTTAGCAAATTGCCAGTTTTGGCATTTAGCTGAAGCAACACACGCCCGCCCGATCCGGTGCTCTGGTGCTCTGGTGCGCCGGTCCCGCAAGATACTCGTACTGTGCGTACATTTAAGAGATTATTTTGTCGAGGTCCTTTCACATTTCGAATTTAATGCGCGTACCTTTCTTCTTCTCTCGCGTCGCAGGCGGGTCGGCGGAGGGTCGCGGTCGCTGTTGTTTCTAGGTTACAATCGAAATTCCGCTGTAATTTGCATGCCGCGAATGCCGACCCCTACCCTACCCTAGCCTCTCTGCCCAGCTTCCTTTTCACCGTGCCTTTCGATCTTTTTCCTCGTCTCGTTTCCCTATGACTTCTTGCGCCCTGCCTCCCGTCTGCTGCTTAAGAATAAACACTGCCCTGACAACTTCCTGTTTCCTTCTCCACGCCAATTTGCAAGCCGCCCCGCCCCGCCCCGCGAGCATCGTCAAAGGCAAGCAAACAAACACAAAATGGAAGCAGCAAGCCGAAAACCTTTTCTCATTTCCTTTGTAAATTGTGCACACAAACACACCCATATGGCTCTCACACACTATCCGAAGGAAGGTAAGGCAGCGAGATGTATCTATTTATTCGGGGTTCATACCAGTCTTTGGAGAGTGTTCCCCTATGCGTGGATGCGCGCAAAAAGCACAACGCCCTCGCTTGTGTGTGATCGGTACTGCCTTACCTTCTCTAAATATGCATTGCTTCCACCCACTCAGCGAGATAGCGAGAGAGAGAGAAAGTCAGGCGGCCGGCGCTCACTTGTTGCTGTTCCAGTTCCAGCAGCAGCTATCGGAAAAAGCAATTTCGTGGCAATGAATGGCGATGAATTGACAGCGGCATCGGCTGGTGCCCGGGGTCTGATTGCCTGCTCCTGCCTTCCCACCTTCCTCGTCTGGGGTCCGTTTGATGCTGATGGCCTGAACACACACAAACAGTGAAAGGGCACACCTGTAGAAGACTTCCCTTGCCCTCCGCTCCTATTGAAGTGCCTGGCGCGGCCATTACGCTATATCGCAATGGAAGTATGCACTAGCGCTATGCACATACTGCCAATCTCATTTGGGACCTATCTAGGGTATCACAGGCATATTTCAGGCCCTGTTCTTTGGAGTACAGGAGTACAGGGTATGTACCACATTTTCTGTCGTTTGCTTCATCAGCCGTCCCTAGCTCTGTACAAATAATCACACTTCAAAGGCAATAAATCGTTATTTAAATTTCATTTTCCACATTGTTTAAAGTTTCGTTTCTTCGCCGCTCGGGGATAGGACCCCGGGAATCGCGGCGGGAGCGCCGCCGGAAAAATATGCTTTAAAAATTCGGCTTATTTGGTTATGAATCCCCTGAGAGTGTTGACTGCCAGCGCGAATATTTCTTCATCTGTGTTGCGAGAATACCTGAGAGCTTGTTTGTGTGAGCGAGAGGATTGTTTGCGTTTTCTTTTTTTTTTGCCGAATTGGTTTAGGATGGCTAACATCCACACACAGGCCCACCGCAGGAAAGTAGCTTTTTCTCTATAAAGTGGTGTATACTATGTGTGTGCTTTTCCATCCCTTTTTATGCGTTTCCCGGGACAGCTCTTCAAGCATTGCCTTCCGTCAGAACGACCTGCAAGTAATCCGCTTGGAAATGCCGAAGGACGACAGCCGTTATCCCATATGCCATATAATCAATGCCATATTCGAGATGGGTTTCGTTTCGTTTCCATTCTGACCCCGACCTTCTGCATTGCAATTAGAGAGAAAGACTTGGGAGTCTCTCTCCAAAGTGCTCTTTCCAAAGAGAGATGTTCGTATGAAGCTATCCCCATTACAATTACCGTAACAGAGCACCTGGCTGTTCTCAGATTAATCTCTGTGGTCCATCCCTGTTGTAATTCTCTGAAGACTTAAGTCGATTTGTGTCGCGTCTCCCAATCGCAATGCCAAGGACTCTGCTTATGTTTTCACAAATATTTGAGATTGTGTGGCAGGGAATCGTTCGCTGATGTCGACGATGGGGATGGGACCGCTGTTTAAAGGCCAGCTCAAGGCGGGTTTATTCATTTACGTTTGTTTATTGAACTTAAATCAGTTTGATTTTTCCTCTGCCTCTGCGTCAGCCTCAGCCTCAGCCTTTGCCATACCATCCCTTTCTTCCATTTTTGCTGTCCTCACAATCTCCAGTCTAAGGTCTGAAGGAGAAGAACTCAACGGAGACAGAAACAGGGCCAACAAAAAGGAACAATCTTGGTAATCAGAAAGAGGGGAGTGGGAGCTCGGAGCTCGGAGCTGCTGGAACCGTTCCTTGCTTAAACAAAATAAAATAAGCTCATTAAAATTATGAGCCTCAGCAGGTGGCGGGGTCAGGGCGGAAAACTTTCTCTGAGTCTCAGTCTGAGTCTGAGTCCGTTGCCAGCCCATCGCGTTGTCCGTGACAGAGCCGAATCCGATGAGGGCTGGTTGCCATGCCACATGCCGCACTTCCTCCCGCCCATCAATCAGAGCCGGATTGTCAACTTTTCAGTCTCATCTCTCGACTCCGCCGTAAGTTAATTACGGAATTTCAGCGCCTGATTGATTTCCGGGCGCGGGTGCCTGGGTGCAGTTTAGAGCGAGAAATCCGTAAAAGACGACAACCAATAAGACTTATCATGCGCCTCCTTTCTGATTCGTTGCCAAGCGGGCCTCGTGTCACGGGCCCATCGCCATCGCTGAGTCTGCTTCACTGGAGCGTGAAATCCAGCGAAGTTTCGGTTGCGGTATGATTGACAACAAGCACTTAACACATTTCTACAATCCCTATCCCACCCTCGCAGGCATTCCCCTAATGAACCTCAAGTGCGCAACAGCTGAGCAGCAGCCCCTTGAACTGGGATTCGATTAGAGGCTCGAACGGAACGGAGCGGAGCGGATGCTGGGTCCTTCCCCAAGCAGTCAAGGATAAAGAGAGAGAGAGATCAGATTTTTGTAGCCAGTTACAGAGCATAGTTATCCTTTATTTATCTTTATCGGGATGGGAGATTTAGGGGTAGAGAGGGAGTTAAACACACCAAACAGAAGAAATCTGATTTTATCCGCTTGTACTCTAATTAATTTGGTTTTTCTGCCGCCTCATTTCTGTGACAGGCACAAAGGCTTCCTTCCTTCCTACGCTTGCAACACTCAATGTACACACCACAACGTCGACGACTGTGGATTACAGTGTGCTGCAACACACTCTGTGGGGCGGGGGAGGGGCTCTCCATCATCATCATCATCTCGTATAGACTCGTATAGGTACTCGTTAGCTTTGGAAAAATATAAATATACATCGATCTACCATTTCTCTACTTTGGTTATTTGTACAATTATGCTTTAAGCCAATTTGCAGGTGTAGCACAGTTACATAAATCTGCAGTAAAATTCCATTTAGAAATAATTTATCTTTTATCTTTTTTGGGTTTTTTTTGTTGCTTTTCAATTAGTTTTACACAATAAATTCGGTGGGCGTTTAGCTAGCTTTGATTCGAATACTTTCCTCCCACATTGGATTAACAAATCAAATTAAAGCCGGGACCTTGGCAATCGCGGCGTATGCGCGATACAGATTGCCCCCAAAGAGGGGATGGAATAGGATGGAGAGTTTTCTGTGTAGATTTCAACTTTTACGAGGCAAGTTTTTTAGTTTGTTTGTTTTTTTGGTTTTCGGTAAATGTAAATGTTAAAAATGATAAAGTGCTCTCGACAGGGAAGGATAGAGGATGAAGGATGGTGTGGTGTGGTGTTCGGTGGGGAAAATGGAAAAATATAAGTGGTTGGCTGTCGAGTGTCTAGTGCTGTCCCGGCCTGTTCTGGCCTGACCTGGTTTCTCTAGTAATTTTCCCCTCTAATGTGTAAGTTTATATATGAAAATAGTTAGAGTTTGGTTAGTTTTTAGTTTGATTTTTGCTTGTTTTGTCGCATTTTGTAAAGGTATTTTTCAAATATAAGCGTATAAGTTCAGAGTTCAGAGATCAAAGTTAGAAATGTTCTCCACTTACATGCACAAATACACAATACATACGAGTACACATACATATGTTCACATGCACGTACATATAGCATATACGCACATACGAGCTAGATTATGCTTTGATTAGGGCTTAGGCTTATTTAGTACGTACTTTAGTACTAGTAACAACAGTCAACATTCAACAGTCAATCCGATATGAGATTTTCGTCAGTTGGAAGAGTTTTTGCAGAGCAGATCGAGGAGTAAACATCCCTTAGTCTACTCAATAAATATACCTATGGATAGCGCACACTTATCGGATAGGATATATATATATATATATATATATAGTAACTTTATCTGCATCTGTATCTGTATATCTATATGCTTGTATAAGTATATCAACATCTATAAAGTTCGCTCTTCTGCATGGGCCTATGGCTGCTCCTTCAGCTTCAGCATCAGCATCGCCTAGTTAAATTGACAGTACATTATTGGATTTGAAATTATTCTCCATTGGAACACATATAAGTACACATACACATAATATACACATATTCTTAGGGCCTACTCGTACTTATGCCCAGCTTCTGGGTGGAGGCTGCACACGCGTCGCTGGGTCGCCGCTTATCAACAAGGCAAGGCCTTGGTCAGAACCCGAAAGTAGGTGCGTCTGGGCCCGATAAGCTAATCGAAACATCCGCCATAAACAAACGAATTATCGCTGCTCGCGGAGGCCTGACCACGGCCAATGACTTGCCGGAATGGTGACGGGAAAGGCAAAGGGGATGGAGATGGAGATGGTCCTGAGGAGCGGCGACCTAACATTAAACTTTCAATATTTTTTGGGGCCGGCAACGGCGACGGCGACGTAGCAAAAAACATAACAAAAGCGTGGGCCTCCCTTCGGCTAATCTGAATGGCATTCAAAATATTCCGCCTGCCGCTTTTGATAAAAATTCTCCTTTGCACAGTGCTCTGTGGCATAATTTGGCTTTTACACAAGAATGTGCCAAAAGAAGACATCGACAATGGACTCGGCCCCTTCTCTTCCTCTTCCTCGTCCTCGTCCTCTTCCTCCTCATTCTCATTCTGTTTGGGAGCCATGGCTCTGCACATGAGGCTGGTACTCGTATTTGTTGGGGGATCCTCCTTCCATCTTCTTAGAGCACATGGAGGTTCTCACAGCTCTTCGACTTGGAGATGTCGGAGAGGCAGATTTTCTGCAGAATCTCCTTGGCCAGATGCAGCGATATGTGGGTGCGAGAGTGCTTCATCTTCGACTGGGTAGCCTTCTTCTCGCGTACCTCCTTCAGGCGCATCTGGGTAGAAGAGACAGTGCATATAGAGAAAAGGAAAAGAGAGAGAAGACAACCTCTGTAATCTGGTTATCGTTAACCGGCCAGGTTTCCGTTTGAGTCACTCGCAGGCAGCTCAATTTTCATTAATTAGTGAAACGATCCGGAAGGATACCCAACCCCAACCCCAACGCCGCCCCAATTGTGCAGGGAATAAAGTTAAATGGATTTGCCGCACCGTCTGGGTGGTCGCTCTGGTGTTCGATGGTGTCGGATGGGGCAGACGCAGACGGCACGGCAAATCCATTTAACTTTGTTTCCTGCACACTTTTCCCATGCATCGGAGGGGGTTGCGTGTGTTTCGCACCTAACCTAAAATGCCCGCAAGCCGCAACCCACAGTCCACAGCCCACTGCCTGCAGTGTCCTGTCTGGACACCCCTGCCCACTCGCACTCACCTGCTTCAATATGCCGACGAGCAGCTCATCGACATTGTGCTGTATGCCGCTTGACGTTTCGATAAATTTGGCATCGCGTGAGGCGGCCAGGGCTTTTCCCTCTGGGGGCCCACCATAGTTCATAGTCCATCGTCCATAATAAATTGGGGGAAATGACAAAATAGCGAAACAAAGCCGAGAGGATAGCAGGGATGGATATAATGAAACGAAATCAAGCCATCATAATTAAGAAGCAGGAATTACAACGTTACCTTGTGATGTGATAAGCCGGGCACGGGCCAGATCCGCCTTGTTGCCTACGAGGATGACGGCCTTGTCCTTGGTGTATTTCTCCTGCCACAGATAATTGATGATTTCCTCGGCCACACGGAACGTGCCCCGGTCGACCACCGAGAAGACAACGACACAGCCGTGCGGCTCGTAGGTGGAGAGCGAGTTCTCCACGCTCATCTCGACGCTCGGGTGGTCGATGAAGACCATGTCCGACTCCTCGTCATCCAGCAGGACACTGACCGTCTTCTCGCCGAACTCATCGTCTAAAACTCAGATCAGAATTAAACTCTAAAGACCCAAGTGGAAGCTGGGAAGCTAGGGGTCAGACACACATAGGTTCCAGCTACGGGTACGATTGTCTACTCACTGCGCTCCAGCCTAAGAGACTCTAAGAGGCGTCTCTCGTCTCTCATCTGTCTCCTCTCAGGTGACTCGCACCCAACACTTACCTAGGCTTGCATCGTAGGTGTGCATGTATTCCGAGGTCATGAACTGGTTGACAAGCGCCGTCTTTCCCACTCCCGCATCGCCCAGCATCACCACTCGGTAGCGGGCCGCAGGCGGCGGCTCCAGGTTGTCCGACTCGTCCGAGGAGACCGGCAGAGAGTCCACGTTGGCATACCCGCCACCACAGCAGCTACCCTCGAAGGGGGACCTTTCGCTGGCCCGGCTGTTTGTCGAGTTCACGCTCGTGTTGCTCCGGGAACGGCGCGAGATTATGGAATCCCCGCAGTTGACCACGTTGCCCTTGCTGATGGAGAAGTGACGGAGGCGGTAGAGATCGTCGCTGGCCCTGGGATTGTACGGGCGCTCCGGTAGAGAACAGACTCGCGGCCGAATGTGGTCGGGAACTGCAGGGGAACGTGGGAAACCGCCGATTCAAAGTTTGCACTCTCTTACAAAGGATATTTCCCTCACCTGGCAGCTCGAGAAAGTTCGACGTTCTCCGCTGACGACCCCGATTGGAGCTTTGGAAGGCCAGTGGGCCAACATCATCGTTGGACACTATGGAGGCATTGGAGCAGGCGCTCTTCATGGACTCGCGCGAGTTGCGGCGACTGGCCAGGAGGGCCAGGCCTCCTTTGGAGCTGCCCCTGCGGCGGGGCTTGTGCTCGACGACCTCGCGCTTTGCCTTGACCGGTTTGGGTGGCTTGCAGCCGCTCAGCTCATGGTCCGGATCCTGGGTTAGGTCGCTGGTGGACTTTCGATAGCGGAGGGAGACCACGCTGTCGGAACATGTGCGGTCCAAGGTGGAGTGCGAGCTGTGGAGCACCTGGTAGCCGGGATTCGAGGTGATGTTGATGGCATGGCGGCGCTGCCGCTGCAGATGTTGCTGCTGCTGCTGCTGCTCTGGGTCCGTAAAACTGAAGCTAGTCGTGGTGTGGGTCACCAGGGTGCTGTTTGTGTGCTGGGTTCCCGTCTCGCCCGACTCCATGGACAGCTGGGTGCAGTCGGTCACGCAGGAATCGCGCTTGAACCCGTAGTAGCCCCCTCTTCTTGCTCCCGCTCCTTCTGCCGAGCTCAGGTTCCGGGCCACGTCGATCTTGCTGATCACCGGCAGCTCCCACTCGTCGTGCCGTCGCTTGCTGCCATCGTCTACGCCCGTTGTGGTCACCAGAGGCAGTGGCTCAAGCGGCAGCTTGCTCCTCATTAGCTTCTTGGAGCCCTGGCGACGCGGCGAGCTGGGCGGCTCATAGTACTCGGGTCCACCATCCCCGTCCGGCGAGAAGGGCTCGTAGTACTCAAACTTCTTGGAAAACGCGGAGTGGTCTGCTCCGGAATTGGGGCTCACGGCATCGAAGACGAACTTGCACGGAGCATTCGGACTGCGGGCAGATGTGCGACCGCTGAACAGCGAGTAGGAGTCATCTATGGAGCCCGAGGGCGGAGTCTGGTAGTAGGAGCTCGGCGTGGAGCTGCTCCCGTCGTCACAGCTGTCGTTGGCGAAGGACGTTGTGATCTTGGGACTCCTGGGCGCCTCGTATCCCCCGCTGTAGCCATAGCTTGGACTGCGCGGACCCGTCCCCGTCCCCGTCATTAAGGGAGTTGCATATACCGATGGCGGTGCGGGATGGTAGGGCCTGAAAAGGTTCCATGTCCCATCATTGGAGTAGCTGTGGAGAAGATTTATTCATACCTGGGCGCCTTGGGAGTGGCTCCTCTGCTCGGCAATGGATTGCTGGCCGTCCTAGCGGTGGATTTGTGCTGGCCGGAGGCCTGCTGCCTATAGCCCCCACCTCCGCTGGCTCCCTCATCCCAGCTGCGTTGCTGCTGTGCCATTTTTAGTGGTCCTATACAGCAGTATCATGAGATGAATGAAACGAGGCGAGACGAGACGACACGAGAATGAGGCCGGTAATGGTTATACTGATAGTTATACTGACGGCAGTGAAAGATGCGACCAACTCATGTGTAAATACCATGGGCCATTACTCATACCACACACACACACACACACGCACAGTGATCCTCGGCCCCCCTTTGGGATACTCTGCCTAAATGGCCACAAAGTAAACATAATTTATGGTTTTATCTCTATTTAATCAAAGTAATGAAAAGCTGGCCATAGCAACCAGCAATCATAAAGGCCAGACCAGACAAGGAGACGGTGTCCGTCCACACCCGCCCACACCCGTTCACACCCGTCCACATCCGCTCCCACAAGTCAGCCGACACCGCCCCGGGCGATGCAGCTCAAAGGCTGCTGGAAATAGACCTCTGCCCGCAGCCTGAGCCGAAGCCAGAGCCAGAACTCAGTTCGAAGCAAGTGGTTCATTTAGTGTTAACTGTTCGTATCCTCGGATATGCTGGTGGTGTAAGTGGCTGCCCCAATTACCGAGCGGCAGATGCGGGTGGGGGACGTCAACGGCATCAGCACTTGGCTACACACATTCCCCATTAACTTATGCAAAAGTTCCAACCCCACCTCCCCCTCCACCCACGCACCACGCACTCTCTCTGCGTCTCTTGCGGTTTGCGTGAAAGTTCTTGGTGTTCTTGGTGTTGGTGTTGGCTCGGTTTGTTTGCGGACTACACCCACGACACTCACGAGGAGGAGACGGTAAGAGAGGAGCTTCCTGCGCTACAAAGTTCTCTAATGGGATTTACCAGCTTGGTGTCGAGGAATGGGGTGGCGAGGGGTGCCCGCAGCTATTAAAGTTGAGCGTCTGTGCGAGAAAATGTTGCCTACATTTCTGCTTGATTGATGTGCAGTGAAAACAAGAGCTCCGCTCTCTTGGCGGACTGCCTGTTTTCCGCCCCAGAGAGCCTTTGCTGTATGTCAATGAATACCCATCGGCAGCTCGCGTTGCGAGAGGCAACAAGTGTCGGCCATTTCCCAGTTGTTCAAAGTTCAATTGAACTCCTGAGTGATTTTGCATTCACTAGAACGAGCGCGCACAATCCACTGGCCTTTGGCCCATGGCCCACTTTAGTTTTATGGCTCAGCAGAGGTCCCCGCGGGCCAAGCCAAGCCAACTGTTGCAAGTACTCAGAGTGCCATGATATCGACTCGACGCCACTTACGCGTACATGAGTACTTCGTGTATCCCATTGCAGTGGGGCTTCAGCCTCGCCCGCTTTCTTCTCCTGGGGAGGGGGAGGACAGGACACGTGTGCTGCCTCGATAGCCGCTTAGCTCGAAATGTGACTCTCGACTGTTTGTCGGGCGGTTGTCGGTTCTCGGTATTCACGGTGCCCACGTCCGACCTGCGGGCCATTATTATCTATCTATCTATCTATCGGATGTACAAATAGCACCCACACACACAGACCCACACACACACAGACACTCACATGTCGCGCACATGTGCGTGAGTACGTGTCCATACTGTTGAGCAAATAAATGTGTAACTGCAGCAAGGAATACCTCGTATTCGGTGTCGTACCTTCATTTTCATTCCCCAGGGAGGCGACAATTAATGGAATTATGCTTACCGTACTAAAGTACCTCGAACATTAGGTTCCCATTTATTTGTCAGTTTTCCTAACAAAATTCTCCTCTGCTCGGGCTTTTTTCTAGAATTTTCTAGACAAACAGAGTGCTGCATCAAAAAGCGCATTCCACTCGTGTTCTACAAGGCATCAATTAGTCGAGTTGCCATCGATTCAAGTGTTTTCCTACTTGTTGTTTCTGCTGCTCCATTTTCTTTCGTTTTGTTTTTGTTTGAATTTTCTTGTTTTTTTGCATTTTCTCGTAACGCGATGGCCTGTTGCCACCGCAACCAATCGAACGGACGGACGGCCGTTGGCCCCTGGATAGCGGACAGGGTTCGAGCCAAAGTCCAGAGCTCACCTTTGCCTTTATCTAAGTTCCTCTCCCTATGCCTCTTTCAGTTCCACTTACACTCCGGCAAAACAGTTTTTGGTTATGCGAAAATCTGCAGACAAGCCGGGGCAACAAATCAATACAAATACAAATACAAATACAAATACAAATATGAGTATTAGTACGAATATCTATCCTTCCACACAACCCTCGTGGTTACGTCCTTCTTGGACTCATTCAAATGTTCAAAAGTTCGGCCCGTCTTCGGTTTGTATGGCATTGTCTGAGTAGAAAGGGCGAAACGAACGGACACACCGGTCGGATGGACGGGGGGCTCAGGGAGATTGGCTCCCCAGCTTATTGTATTGACCGAGGGTCTGGGTCTTTGGGGCTGCCTGCTGGAGAAAAGGTAAGCTTATATAACATAATAATCGTTGCAGATTTGCGAATTATGTATTCAGGATATATAATAGGGCAAGACGGCGTCCTCCGGTCCGACTGGGTCAATCATTCAAAACCGAATGAATTATTGATGGAATGCCAGGCCCAACTTTAAATCGAGTCTCAATCCTAAGTTATGCATAGGACCGAACGATATGTGCCTGATTTGACTGTGGCTGGGGTAAAGAGCAATTTGCATACCCAAAGAGGTTTCCCCGGAATGCGTAGGTCTTGCCTCAATCAGGTTTATGGCTTCGCTTTTCTTCTGGCCTTTTGTGTGGCGCAAAAGTCTGCGACCTGCAATGACGGTGGCGGCGGCACTGCCAACTTTCCGTTTCCCGTTTTCCCAGTTTCCTTTTACCGTCATTATTTAAGGAGGGAGGTAAGAGTAATGACTCGCCTTGCACTCGCTTCCACCGGGTATCCCTGTCTCTCTCTCTCTGCCTCTGCAGCTCTCTCGTTCTCTGTTTCACCGTCATTAGGTCGAAGACGTCCGTCCGTCATAAATGAGTTCTTCGGCAAATGGCTCGGACAACCCTTTGAGAAACTTGGCTTAATTACATGCCCGCACCCGTTAAACGCATACTTAACACCCAACCCCACCCAACCCCCGGCTTCCCGTACAAATATTAACTTGGCCAACCCTTCCCCCTCTCCCTCTCTCCCTCTGTCCATCTGTGTCTCTGCTGTAAAAATAAACTTGAGTGTGTGTACTACTCGTCGAAGGCATAGTGCGAGAAAACAAACAAGAAAAGTCCATAAAACACTTAAGATCAAAGTATACAAAAGTATGTCTGCGTGTGTGTGTGTGTGTGGATCTCATGTGTATTTGTGGGTGCAAAGGAGAAGACAAGAAACCATAGCCTAACTAGCGGGGCAGACTCCAAATGGCAAACAGAAAATTACAAATCCTGGCCAAAGTCACGTCGCAACTTAGTCATTAGCCACCACTTGAGGCTCTACCCTCCAGTCATTGGCAGCCACCACTGCCCGCTGTCCGCTGTCCGCTGCCCGCTCCCATCCATCGATTTTATTGCAACACATAATTCTTGGAGCCGGGCCCACGCCCACCCATCGCCATTTGTGTAAATCTCATGTTGATGGCATATAAAGTGACCTCCTGGCTGGTATTTAGCCCCGAGCAGGCAAATTTGCACTTTAAATGCTCGGAATACTCGCATGCGTCATTTGCTGAACGTTGAACCGCTGGGGGAGCATTAGCAGACAAACAGAGAGACGTCTGAAAGTGCAGACGACACCGAGTTAGGTGTAATTAGACGCGTCTGGGCGCGAGGATTAGCAATTAAGCGAATGTCCTGCGAGCGCAACAAGTGCCTGCCACACGACGACGACAACGACGACTACAATGAGAGCAGCAACAATGACAACGAGGACTAGCGTAATCCCAGTCACACAGGGACACAGGAGGAGGATGGCGGACGGTAGACGGAGCACAAAGCGAGAGCAGCGCATAAATCAACATGTCAAATCGCAGCTTACAAAGCGCCACCCAGACACACGCATACACATGCACAAGTATACACACAGCACGCACACACACATACGAATATGTATACACACTCTCCCTCTCTCGTTCTGGGCATGCATTAGCATTTAATGTTTACCATTTTCAGCAAATTTGCAGGATAATTTTGTCTGCTATGGGAACTTTATTAATTGTCCAACACCACACCACAGCACAGCACAGCACAGCACAGCACAAAACTCCGTCACCCTCAACGTCGCTGTAAGCGAAACCCGCACCAACACTAGCGCACTAACACACTATCACCGAAAACAAACACCCACACAACGATGAGCAACAGTTTGGACACACAGCACAGCCAAGAGCTGCGGTGCTCTGCACTTCCGTATCCGCCTCCGGATGCCGCTCACTCGAACTGTCCGCGCGGACGAAGCTGCAGCGACCGCTGCTCGAGCTAAACTGTGGCTCCCCAAGGCAACTTGGCAGCTCGGCGCCAGTTCTCTGTTCTGTTCTGTTCTGGTGGCTCCCGAGCTCCCGAGCTGGCGGAAAGCGAAAGCTCAGTGAAAGTGAAAGCTCTGCTGGCCTTCGACTCGCCCTGTGAGACAGGCAGACAGGGAGTCGAAGCTAGCCGCCATATGCAACAGAGTTCAGATGAAATATACTCGCATTTGACAGAAGTTTGTACGATATCTAAGATTGGGAGCCTTGGAGTGTGAAAAAGTAATGCCGGGGGAGTCTCGTGGTTCAAGAATAAGGCGTGCTCTTAATGCGATCGTATCTTCCTTTTGGGTCTTCCTTCGGGGTCGCCTGCGCGCCACACGTGGCTAATAACTGCGCGCTGGTCCAGGCGATCGTCCGGTCGGCGTTGGTCTAGGTCGCGGTGGATTAAGTGCGCTCCGTGTAGAATATTCGTGCCGGAGGTTTAAGTACGATCATGTTTATTCTAATTTTAAGAGAATGGAAGGTTTTCAGTTATCTTGTCTCTTATGTACTAACGGGTGGTTATTATTAACTGCGTCTCCATGTTTTGTTCTCCTTTTGTTCCAGTGGTGAAGTTGGTTTTTGTGGCGCCAGCTGATAGAATAGTAGATTAATAGACGATTATTTACTGGTCTACTGGCTACCTTCGTTACCGGAAAGTACAGAGTTCAGAGTTAGCCTGAGATACCAGGATATCGTATGTCTTGCTCTGAAGATATAGTCTTATAATCTGTTTATAGATCAATAAATATTATTTCTTGGATTGGGATATATATCTTTTTGTTTTATTTTTGTAGTTTTTGTTTGGTTTGTTTTTAAAATATCATCTTAGAGTATAAACTTAGCACTCGCTTATAAAATAAATAGTCTGGAAGTCTTCGGCTTACATACTAGAGAAACGACTGGTAGGGGAAGTGTGGGACAGTATATGTCTGTCTATATATGGAGATGAGACAGGATGTGTGATCAGGTGTGAAAGGCGGGTAAAGATGCGGTAAATTCTCATGATGGTTGGGCCCTCTCCTCATCAGCTGACTTAGAGGTCGGCAACGCGGGTGGCAAGCTGCTCCAGCTCGTTGTAAATGCTGGCTGGCAGATCGGAGCCCACCTGGGACTCGAAGTAGGTGCGGATATCCTGCACCTCCTGCGACCAGAAGTCCCTGGGCAGCGAGAAAAGTTCGCTCTCATCGATCTGCTCCTTCATGCCCGTCAGGTTGAGCGCGCCCTCCGAGGGAATGTGTCCAATGGCCGAGTCCACGAAGCAGGACTCTCCGTTGATGCGGCGCAGGACCCAGTCGAGCACACGTGAGTTCTCACCATATCCGGGCCACATAAACTTGCCCTCGGCACTCTTGCGGAACCAGTTCACATGGAAGATCTTGGGCACCTTGCCCCTCTTCTCCATGCTCAGCCAGTGGGCCACGTAGTCACCGAAGTTGTACCCAAAGAAGGGGCGCATGGCGAAGGGATCGTGCATGATCACCTTGCCCTTGTGCTCGGCCGCGGCAGTCGACTCGCTCCTCATGGCAGCGCCGATGAAGACGCCGTGGGTCCAGTCGCGGGCCTCGTAGATGAGGGGAACTCCGGCAGGACGACGACCTCCGAAAAGCATGGCGGAGATGGGCACGCCAGCCGGATCCTCCCAGGCACCATCGATGATGGGGCACTGAGCGGCGGGGGTGCAGAAGCGAGAGTTAGGGTGGGCGGCTGGCTTTCCGGAGTCCTTGGTCCAGGGCTTGCCCAGCCAGTCGGTGATCTGCACGTTAGGAGCCAGGCTGCTCTCCATTCCCTCCCAGAAGACGCCACCGTCGGAGGTGGAGGCAACGTTGGTGAAGATGGTATTTTTGAAGACGGTGTTCATGGCAATGGGATTCGTCTCCGTCGATGTGCCTGGCGCAACTCCGAAGAAGCCGTTCTCCGGATTGATGGCCCTCAGCACGCCCTTCGAGTCGAACTTCATCCAGGCGATATCGTCGCCCACGCACTCCACCTTGTAGTCAGCCAGCGAGGGGTTGAGCATGGCCAAGTTGGTCTTTCCACAGGCGGATGGGAAGGCGGCAGTGATGTATTTCTTCTCCCCTTCGGGGTTGGTGATGCCCAGGATGAGCATGTGCTCGGCCAGCCAGCCCTCGCGCTTGGCAATGGTGCTGCCGATTCTCAGGGCGAAGCACTTCTTGCCCAGCAGCGAGTTTCCGCCGTAGCCCGAGCCGTAGGAGACGATTAGGTTCTCGGCGGGCTTATGCAGGATGATGGTACGCTCGGGATCGCAAGGCCAGGAGGGCTGTTCCACCTGGCCGTTGGCTGGGGCTCCGACGGAGTGTAGGGCGCGGACAAACTCCTCCTTTTTGGCCAGCTGGCTGAGGACTGAGGCTCCCATACGGGTCATAATGCGCATAGACGCCACTACGTAGGCGGAGTCGGTGAGCTCAATGCCGATCTTCGAGAGCGGTGAGCCCACAGGGCCCATGCTGAAGGGCACCACGTACATCGTGCGTCCCTTCATGCATCCGGGGAAGCGCTGCTGAATGGCTGTCTCCATGTCCTTGGGGGAGATCCAGTTTCCCAGAGTTCCCTTCACTCCGTCCTGGGGTGTGGGAATCGTCTCCTCGCGCTGTTCCGTGCAGATGAAGGTCTTGGACTCCACACGCGCCACATCGCCCGGATTGGTCCTGGCCAGCCAGCAGTTGTCGTACTTGGGCAGGGCCACGATGGTGCCGGCCTCCAGCAGGCTCTTGATGAGCATCTTGTTCTCCTGCTCGCTGCCGTCGCAGATGTGCACCTGGTCGGGCTGACACAGGGCGATCCCTTCCTCCACGAAGCTGCGGACGCCCGCTGTGAGGGAGTTGACATCGCCATACGAGATGGGAATGCCGCGGATGTGGCTGTACAGACCGCAGTTGTCCTGGCGCAGCTTGTGCAGCTGGGGCAGACCGCAACCGTTGGCAGAGCTGGACAGGAGGAGAGAGAAGAGCGGGGGAAACAGGAAATTAATCAAGTGCTTTTCACATTTTGAATGGAGTGTCCGAGAACGAGAACGAGGACGAGGACTGCGACTGGCACTGGGACGGGGTGCCGGTGTCGCATTAATTATGCGGTTTTCATTTATGCAATTATGGCTCGCATTAAATGCAATTACCGCAATTTATACGCTATTTAAAATATTATTTTAAAAATAATATCCGCTACAGTCAAGAGGAGAGTGTGTGGTGGGGGGTGGGGTGGGGTTTGTTTGGTTTTCGGTGCGTATCGTTGCGTTGCGCGTGGCGTGGCATGGCCTCTTTTCCTGGGGCAGATACTTACATAACTTTGCTTTGTTCGATGAATTCAGGCATGTTGCTGGTGTTGTATTTTATAGAGTTTGGAATAAGCTGCACAGATTTCTTGATTTGCGTTTTATGGCGGTGACTTGTAGAGTCGTGGATAAATGTTTGGCACTTGGTTTGATTTTTTTCGGCAAAATAGGCGAATCTGCTATCACAATTTTCAATTATCACAATTATTGTTTTAGTGTCTTGGTGCGACTCTCGCTTTCATATGTTCTTCCACAGCTTTTTGTCAAATATCAGCTTGATGCTCAGACCACTGAAAGTAGACTTTTCACTTGATCTTTCCATTTACTCCGGACACGAGTAACTGATGCCAGATGCCAGGCCGCACGGCCTTTTATACGCTCCCGCGGGTGCCTCGGCGTCGATGCGACTAGAACAGGCGCGTTCGGCTCCGCGATCGTGTACGATCGGTGCGCTTGCGAGCGAGAGCGCTGATTGGTCACCGTTGGGAGGCTCGCCGATTGTTTTGGTTTTTCACAGAGGCAGAACCGGTGTGGCAGGGGGAGATCGGGCGAGGCGGTGGAGTGCCCCCACCTGGCAACAGCTCAAGTACCAGAGAGCATTTTCTAGTGTGTTTGCCGCTGACTTCGGGCCAATCGAGCATTGATAAGAGCCGCACTGAGCCGCGGCATTTGTTGTTATTTTGATGTTTTGCCATTTTCCCGTTGTTAATTTAATTACTTTGTTTTTGGTTGTTTATGCTTTTATTGGACGCGGGGCCTGGCAAAAATAGATCCCAGTAGATCCCAGGCAACAGGGTGTGAGCGGGTGCGGCTCTAACCGAAACAGCTGTGTCCACATCCGCACATGAAGAAGAACCCATGTAGGGGTATGTGGGTATGTTCTGGTCCAATCTGCGGTGCAATAAGTGGATGGAGGCCTCTACACGCGCCCTCCTACGCCTCCAAAACATCACGAGGCGCACTCGGATTGAATTCAATTTTTTTCTCTCTCCTTGGACCAGTGCCAAATCGAAAATATTCTCGGTTTTTTTTTTTTTTTTGCGAAACTGGTGACGGAAAATTTGTGTGATGATGTCTGCTGGTCCCCCTCTCCACCGTTGACCGTGGCCGGATTGGAGGCCAACGCATTCATGTGACTCTTGCCGGGGCCCAAGAATAGCCGCGAATGGTTGTCATGTGTTTTCTCGCGCTCTCTCGCTCTAACCCCGCGTGGAAGGATAAATGAAGGTGCCGTTCGGGCGACTTTGCCCCCGCTCCATGCTGCCTCAGTCCCTTTCGGGAAACCGTTGCAAATCCGGTTCCGCCGTTCACTTACCCTAGATCCAGACACAGAAGGGACTGTATCGAGCAGGCCTTGGGGAACCCAAGCCCAGCCCACTCCCTCTGCCGCCCCGCTCCACCTAGTAGGGACTGGTCCATTTCCAGTTCCACACACGCGCTTCGTGCAATTTTTTGGCGGTTTATTTATAAACTATGGACTTGTTTTTCTAGTTGTGCCTGATGTCTGATAATCTTCATCATCGGCGTTAATTGCCGGACTCTGGCACTGTTGTCTCCGCTCCTGTTCTACTCTCTCCTCCACCTGGTCCTCTCCTCACCCACACAGCAAGCGCGTTTCTGCCGAGTCGATCTTATATTGCATTTACGTCAATAGACATTCCCCAGCCCCAGCTCCAGGGCTGGAAGACAGGGTACGTAATAAATACACATGTACATGGATGTACCCAAGTGATCTGTATGTGGGACAGCCAGGCGGAGGGTTATCAGTTGACGAGCCTCTAGGGGCATCTAAATATAGAGCTGGAACTGTCTGTAACCCGGATCTTGATTGGCAACCAGGAAATTTTCCTAGGGGTTCAGTTTTACAAGCCCCCCATCGGCCAGAGCACAGCCCGGATCTCTTCTTGTTCTTGCCAACAACAGAAGAAGGCCCGTGCCAGCGACCGTTATCGAACCGAGGCGTGGTGTTGGAACATCACACCACACTCGTCCCGTCGATAATCAGGCCCTGGCAACCCGGAGTGGGTCCCCGTACCCGTCCCCATGCAGCCTTCGACAGTTCTTTCTTTGGATTTCTTGGGATTTTTTGGATTCTTTTGGCATTTTATTTGCTTGTTTTCCATCGCTGCGATCTTCTGATAACTCGGGTTAAAAGCCATTTTGGATTTATACGCTTGTTTACGCCAATTGCGGACGGGCCTCCGTCGCGGCGGACACTGATAAGCCATTGGGCCACGCCCCAATACCGATCCCATCCCCAAATAAATGTCTTCGATGCCGAATTTGTTGGTGTATAAAAATCGTTTCGTTTTATTTTACGCAATTAGGTCTTAGATTAAAAGAGTAACCTATGGAACACACACATCACATGTTGGCCACACGCGCCTTCAGCTCCGTCAGCTGCTCGGCCACGGGGCGTGGCAGATGGCCGCCCACCTGCTCCTCGAAGTATCGCTCAATCTCGAGGGCCTCCTGCTGCCAGAAGGCCTTGGGAAGATCGAAGAGCTGGGAGAGATCAATGTTGCCCTCGATCCCTGACACGTTCAGGGCACCCTTGCTAGGCAGACGACCAATGGGCGAGTCCTCGAAGCATTTCTCGCCCTGCACCCGCCGGAAGATCCAGTCCAGGACGCGCGAGTTGTCCCCGAATCCCGGCCACAGGAACTTGCCCTCGCTGCTCTTGCGGAACCAGTTTACGTGGAAGACCTTGGGCACCGTGCCCCTCTTCTCCATGCTCAGCCAGTGGCTCAGATAGTCCCCAAAGTTGTACCCAAAGAAGGGGCGCATGGCGAAGGGATCGTGCATGATGGTCTTGCCCTTGTGTTCGGCCGCGGCAGTCGACTCGCTCCTCATGGCAGCGCCGATGAAGACGCCGTGCGTCCAGTCGCGGGCCTCGTACACGAGTGGAACTCCTGCGGGTCGACGGCCCCCGAAGAGAATTGCGGAAATCGGCACGCCGGCACTGTCCTCCCAGGCGGGGTCAATTATGGGACACTGCGTGGCGGGAGTGCAGAATCTGGAATTGGGATGGGCGGCGGGCTTGCCCGACTCTTTCGACCAGAGCTTGCCCAGCCAGTCGGTGACTGTCAGGTCCTTCAGCTGAGCGGATTCCATGCCCTCCCAGTAGACGCCTCCGTCGGAGGTGGAGGCCACATTGGTGAAGACCGTATTGCGGAAGATCGTGTCCATGGCAATGGGATTTGTGGCCCGCGACGTGCCAGGCGCCACTCCAAAGAATCCGTTCTCCGGATTGATGGCCCTCAGCACGCCCTTCGAGTCGAACTTCATCCAGGCTATGTCATCGCCCACGCACTCCACCTTATAGCCGGGCAGGCTAGGCGTCATCATGGCCAAATTGGTCTTTCCACAGGCGGACGGGAAGGCGGCTGCCACGTAAATCTTCTTTCCTTCGGGATTGGTGATGCCCAGGATGAGCATGTGCTCGGCCAGCCAGCCCTCGCGCTTGGCAATGGTGCTGCCGATTCTCAGGGCGAAGCACTTCTTGCCCAGCAGCGAGTTTCCGCCGTAGCCCGAGCCGTAGGAGACTATCTCATTATCGGCGGGCTTGTGCAGAATGATCGTCCGCTCGGGATCGCAGGGCCAGGAGGACTGGACTTGCACACCGCTCTTGGGTGTGCCCACCGAGTGCAGACACTTGACGAACTGGCCATCGCCCTCGCGGAGCACGTCCAGAACTGGGTTGCCGGCCCGCGTCATGATCTTCATGGACTCCACGACGTAGGGCGAGTCTGTGATCTCAATGCCGATCTTTGAGAGCGGCGATCCCACGGGTCCCATGCTGAAGGGGATCACGTACATGGTGCGTCCCTTCATGCAGCCCGGGAAGCGTTCTCCGATGGCCGCCTGCAAGTCCGCCTCCGAGATCCAGTTCCCCAGAGTGCCGGGCGTCGCCTTCGGAGTCACCGGCACCGTCTGCTCCCTGCGCTCGGTGCATATGAACGTCTTGGACTCCACACGCGCCACATCCGCCGGATTGGTCCTGGCCAGCCAGCAGTTGTCGTACTTGGGCAGCGGCAGAATAGTTCCCTGCTTCAGCATGAGGCCCTGGAGCAACTTGCTCTCCCCCGCACTGCCGTCGCAGATGTGCACCCGCTCCGGCTGGCACAGATCGACGCACTTCTCCACGTACTGCTTGACGGCGGGAGTGAGGACCTTGGCATCCCCATACTGGACGGACAGGGAGCGGCAGACCAGTCGAAAGTTGTAGCTCTTCGGTGGGCCAACGAGGCTGCGGAAAAAGAACAGATGGCGAGGGAAGGTGTTAGGTAATATCAGAGTTAGGTAATAGCTGCATTCGACAGGTAGAATGTAAAAAGAGGTTGGGTTATCTTCGTGCCAGGCCTACCTAATGTGCCAAGACCTTCACCCACAACAGCCTATCCGACAGCTGTGCTGTGGATCGTCGCGATAGCGCACTACAAGAGCCGAGCACAACTGTACCACCAGAGCGAGAGCGAGAGATCGTAACGTGATTTCAAATTCTAAGTGGGCACGCATAGCCGCTGAAAAACAGTCAACGGCAAAAGCCAGACGGTTTGCTCAATAAAGACATAATAAAAACAGAAAACTGAAAGCAAACAAAAAACAAAAAACCAAACTGACTGCTGGATCAGCTGTTCGTCTGGTCGGTCTGGTTTTGAGAGCTTCAGAAACTGGCTTCTCACATTTCGCACAGAGATCTTTGTGGACGTGGAATGGGACTGGAAATGGGGAGTTTCCCCTGCACCAGCCTTCGACTGAGAGATACTCGTCCTCGTATTTCATCAGCGTCACTTTCATAAGAAGCGAATCACTGTTGCTCACTCTCTGCGCCTCTGCGAGAATGATGCAATGTTTCGTCAGCCAGCGTCGATCTTTGTGCTCTCTGTTATGGTTGCGACGCCATCAGCTGGGGCACTTGCATCGAAAGATAGGAGAGCAGGTAGACCCAACTTCCGGCAGAGTACCCTACCCGTATGCTTACATACATACAAGTACATGTATCTACATACATATGAGTCCATTCTCATTGTACCTCCATGTCTACACATTGTAGAGACACAATCAAGAGCCACTCTCCCACTCTCTGATACGTTACACAGTGCAAAGTCCATGGCAAGTCACCGAACCTCGCCCCCACCCAGACCCAGTCCACCGTCAAAACGATAAGTTTACACGCGTTCAGGGCTGTCCCATTCGTGACGTCACAGACATACAGACAGCGACTGTCTGGCCGCTAGCTGAAGAAATATTCCCAAATAAATGTACATACATATGTATATGTTTTATAATTTCGGAACTGCGCAGTTCCCTCCGCCGCGTGCTC